TATATATATATAATATATATATATATGCTGCATCTCCATTATCTATGCAACTATTGATGTGCACTTAGGATGCTTCCATATCTTGGCAATTATAAATAATGTTGCTGTTAATTGCAGGGTGTATGTATCTTTTTGAGTTAATTCTTATTTTGTGATTGGCTTTATTCCTTTGATAACTATGTAAGTTTAAAAAGCTCAAGCTCTCAATGTTTAGAAACAATGAACAGTGTATCTATGTAAATTTAAAAATATATGTGCAGTAAAAAAAAAGATCTATCAAGCCATGAAAGACATAGAAGAAACTCAAAAGACATATTACTAAATGAAAGAAGCTAGTCTGAAAAGGCTACAAACTGTACGATTTCAACCAAATGACATTCTGGAAAAGGAACAGCTACAGAAACAATAAAAAGATTGTGTTTTCCAGGGGTTTGGAGAGAGGGAGGGAGGAAGGAATGAATAGATGGAGCACAAGGGATTTTTAGGGCAATGAAATTACTCTGTATGATACTATAGTGGGTACATGTCATTATGCATTTGTCAAAACCCACAGAATGTACAACATCAAGAGTAAACCCTAATGTAAACTATGAATTTTGGTTAATAATGTGCCCATGTTGGTTCATCGATTGTACCAAATATGCCACACTGATGAGTGATGTTGGGGGTAGGGGAGCATATATGTGTGGGTGGGGAAGACTATGTGGGAAGTCCGTATTTTCTGATCAATTCTGTTGTGAACCTGAAACTGCTCTAAAAGAATAAAGTCTATTAAAAAATTTTTTTAATCATGTATCTGAGATTCTCAAAATAAATCACTGACATTTTGCAAAGATTTTGCTTAGAGAAGGTGTAGAATTCTTCCTCTAGTGAAATAATTTGAGATGCATTTTCTACATGGTTTTCAAATGTCAAATTGTACTTGGCATGCAATGAACTCTAAATATAAAATATCAGCTTACCACTTCCAAAGGCTGATGCAAGTATTTAACTGTAAGTTAGAAAATATCCACAACTACTTTATTTCGCTAAAAATTGTAGCAAATTTTTTAACAGATTACATATTTGAAATAGAAAAATCTTCGTAAATATAAATTAGCTTCCTATATATATACACATTTATATGTCTGTATGTATGCAAGTGTTTGCAATAGAAAAAGAGGAAAACAAACACACTTTCTGGAAACAACCAAAATGTTCCTTAATAAAGGACCCAGTAATTATACTGCAGTACTCTGTTCAATAAAGTTTTAATGTAGATATTAGAAATAAAAGTAATGAAGTAGAGTTGTATATACAGATCTCCAACATATATTGTCACATGGAAAAAAAAGGCAAGGTAGTACAGTGCATTGCATAGAGATACCAACTGTATAAATGTTTTAAAGTGTATGTATGCGTATATATACTATTTCATCTATTCTAAGATGCACACTTTTAAAAGGTTTAATTGTCAACTTTTTTTGTTCCTCACATTTTTCTACCTTATGCAGTTATACACAATACATAATTTCTATTTATGTAATTGCATAAAATTATAATCAGTAATTATTTACATTTGTTCAGATGCATTAAAAGCCTTCCAGGGAGGACACACAATAAATTATTAACAATGATCACCTTGAGTGAGAAAAGCTGGAGGAGGGAAGCTGGATAAGAGTTGTATTTTTCCATTTGATAACTCTGTATGGTTCTTTAAAAATACAATTATGTGCATACCTTACTTGTATTATGTCTATATTATATACAGTAACACATACTATGTGTTTATATTTCTCCCTTATATATCTTAAGACTTAAAATTTAGAACTTCAATTCCTCTACTAATTTTAGGATTTAGCAAGATTACTTCTGCAGTGAAAAGTCAGGTCTTTACTCCAAATATTCACATCATAAGTGCACGGAAAGAATGCAGGATAAACACTTTTTCGTCTTCTCCTTCCTCTTCTCCCATGTCCCCCCACTCCCCAGACGACTTGCTGCCACATGCAATCGTTTTAAATTCCCACCACCTCTTCTAAGTCCAATTTGGAGGTTCACTGGACATCCACAAAGTCATCCCTAGTCATTCTCACTGGGAGTAATATGTGGATGTTAGACTCCTGCACGTACAGGAATAATGAAGAAAGCAAGTTGCACGCTTGTGTGCTAAGTGTGCAGCCACTTCAACCACACCCCTTCCTCGTGCCCATTTCTGTAACTCCATCCCTTCACGCATTAGTTCATTCCTGATTATTGAGGGTGTTAGGCATGCTTGGCTGCTGTGGCGACATGTAAAACTAAGAAGCCCCTTCAAAGCAAAACGCACGTGGGGGGAGGGGCATACAGGGAGGTCAACTTCAAGAAAACGTGAGTTAACAGCTGAGAGAGGCTGGCAGGAAAAGAAACTTCTGGGGGAAAAAAAAATTTGGGGGGGAGGATAATAGCTCAATGGTAGAGTGCATGCTTAGCATGCATGAGGTCCTGGGTTCAATCCCCAGTACCTCCATTTAAAAACAAACAAAGAAACCAAAAAACTTGACAGAGAAGATGATGACATTTGAGTTGGGTCTGAAGAGCTCCGTGAGAAGACTCGAGAGTATTCTAGCCAGAAGGTGGGGTTAGTGGGGTGCAAACGCAAGAAAGCAGGGAAGGCACAGCCTGCTTGGGAAAATTGGCAAATTTAGCGATGAGATTTTCGAGGTGAAGGGGAGAGAGAGGAGGAGAGAGGAGCAGAAAGTAAGTCTGAAGGGACAGACATTTTGTCAGTCTTACTTTTGAACTCCTAAAAGAGGTGTGAAGTCCCACAGAAGTCCAGCATAAAGACTGGGACTCACGAACGGCGGGGACTCAGCTGTCGGTTGCGGCCGGGTGGGAACTGGGCAGGTCGGGAGGAGCAGTTGGGAGGTGGGGTGGTCTCACTCCAGTCCCCAAAATGGGAGGAAAGCCGGCCGGGCCTCGGCCGGGCCGGGAATGCAGCTCAACGCGCGTCTCTGACGGCACAATCACCCGCCGCGCCGCTCAGCTCCGCCGGACGGCCCCGGTGCTGCTCCTGCGTGGCCTCCGCGGCCGCCAATGCCGGCCGTTGGGAGTCCAAGACCGGTTCTTTCCGCAGCGTCCCGTGCAGGCTACCCCGGGCGCTGCTCCCGCGGCCCGGGTTCCCCCCGCCTTAGGCCCGCGGTCCCCGCCCCCACGCACTCACGGTCCGGAACTCTCGTCCCACGGGCCCGAGAAGTGAAACATTGTTTAGAGGCCCCGGGCTGCTGAAGGCGCAGCTGCGTATAGATGGAAATTTCGAGGAGTGGGGCCTTGGGAGGATTCCAAGGTATGCTTTGAGGGGACTGACACGGAAATGCATAAATATATAAAATACCTATGACTTTTCTAAGACCATTATATTTTCTGAAGTTATAATAGTGTCTCCCTAGAGAAAATCAAATGTTTTCTTTTTTTAATTTTTAAAATTATTATTATTTTTCCTGGTAATCCAGAGCTTCCTCATCCTCCACCTTCTGGCAACTTGGTGTGGTAGGCTTGCCCTTTGCCAAGAACACGTTCACGTACCCCGGCTCCTATCGTTAGACGAGTCTACACTCTTTTCAGTCTGTTTTCAGTCTCCAATGTTGAAATTTTCTGCTCGGAAACCTATCACTGGTACTGTAGGAAACAGAAAGACTCTGAAGAAAACGGACTACTTTTCAAAGTCCACCTCCTCCCTTTTCCAGTACGTTTCTGTTTTTCCTGTACCCATCTGACATGGCGTGATGGGTCTCCATTTTAAAAAAGGTGTTAAAGTCAATCTTTGAATGTAGAGAAGATCAATCTAAAGTGAGGACTGGAAGATCTGCCAAGTGAAAAAAAATATACATATATATAAATCACAAGTAAAGTTAAATAAACCATGGTCCATTTATATTAATAGATTATATGATATGGCGTTATGGGAGGAGGCAGTCCCTGTGGCCCTAAGGGACTCTGCCATCTTGCTGAGAATGCCAAATTGCAAGACCTGCCCTTTGACCCCCTTGACCCTGTTTCCTTACTGTATAGGCAATTAAGTGGGTGACAGCACCCATGGTTTGCCTAAGAAGCAACTGCTCACTTCCCAGGGGCCAGGGGACTAACTTGTTTCCTGCTTGCTACAAAAGATGCTGGGCTCTTATCCCTAAATTCTCAGCTCAAAGCTCACTGCCTGCATCTGGGCTCATACTCTTGCCCAGCAGGCCTTGGGGCCAGAACTGGCCTCCCATGTGATACTCCTGTTGTTTGCTGGGC